CGAAGATGTCCTACAAGGCTGATTGGTGCCCGGAACGTCTGCTGGCAGCGTGAACACTTTAGAAGCGGTTGGGCGTTGGTGTTATGAGGCGGCGGCGGCGGCGGCGGCGGCAGCGGCAACGACAGTTGGGATTTACGCGTCTCGCGTTTGAATTTGGCGGCGGTGATGTGGTTGACTTCGAAGATTGCTACGCCTGTCTTCACCGTTCTCCACGCAGGTCAGTCCCGGGCGAGGCCTACCCAGTTTGATAGGTTGATCTGCAGGCGCTTCAGGGAGGTTTTCAGAGTATCCTTGTATCGCTGAAATTGACCTCCTTGTCGTCGTGAACCCCTCGCAAGATCTCCATAGAAGAGTCGTTTGGGTGGCCTGTCGTCGTCCATCCTTAGGAGGTGGCCGCTCCAGCGTAGTTGTAGTTGTCTCAGCAAAGCGTAGATGCTGAGGATTCCCGTCCGCTCTGGTACGTCCGTATCTGTGACCCGGTCCTGCCAACTCAGCTTCGGTATGCGAAGAAGACATCTGAGGTAAAAGTAGTTGAGTCTACGTGCCTGCTTCATGTACACCCTCCAGGTCTCCGCTTCGCACAATAGCATCGGCCGGATGACTGCCTTACACACCTTCAGCTTGATGTTCAGATGAAGGCCATGATGTTCCAGACGGTGTTCTACAGACGGCCGAAGGCTTGACTGGCGTTGGAAGTTCGGCGAGCCACCTAATCGTTGACTTTGGTGTTCCGGGAAAGCGTTCTGCCCAAGTAGGTGAAGTTGTCCACGACTGGGAGTTGGGGCGCCGTTCACGTTGCTTTGGGGTGCTTCTATTCGTTGCGGTACGCATACTCTTCTACTCTCCTTGGCCTTGCGAGCAGTCCAAGCCTCCTGCATCTCCCGCAGCCGCCGTTGCACAAGGCGCCGACTACGGTAGAAATTTGCTTTGCTAACGTCGGTGGGACGATTGTCGTAGGCTTTGCGCAGGAGGTTCTTCTTGGCGAGCAGGTTGCTGATAGCGGCGTCGTCGTCGAACCAGTCCTGATGTTGGCGACGTGCGCGACCGAGGAAGGGCAGGGCCGTCGACTGGACTGTGTCCGAAGTTGGCATCATCGGTTCTCCACGGAGACGCTCTTATCGATGGTGGCGGCGACTGGAAGGCTGACTAGCTGTTGAGCCAGCTCGTTGTTGAAGTGGAGATGGTGAACAGGAAAAGACACCAAAGCAATATTCAGCTTACCTTGGGGTCTCCTAGGAGGCTGTAGACGAATCTGTAAGTTGGAGATGACGAGACGATGGTTGGTCCTCCCGTCAGCACCCGGAATCGCCTTTGTCACCAGCACGTCCCGCCGGTCTCGCCTGCGGACGGTGCCACTGACGCGATCGAGGGTCCATCCAGGTGGCCTTCTCTTGTATCAGTAGTCGGAAGTGGGTGCTGGTCAGAATGAGTCTGTGTTTTGTGTAGGTTCGTAGGAGGAGCAAGCCATTGTCATTGGTGCCGTCAAGACCATTGGGACTCAGCACCCCCCTCCAGGCAGCATGGCCTGTGCCGACGCGGACGTTGAAGTCACCAAGGACAATCAACTTATCCGTTTTCGGCACAGTCACCAGGAGGGCGTGCAGATCCTCGTAGAATGTGTTCCTCGTCTCGTCAGGGCTAGTCATCGGAGGGGAGCGGGCATAGACGCTGATGATGGTGGTGAATTTGCCACCTCGCAGAGGCAGGCTGAGGCTCATCAGCCGATCGTTGGTGCCCTGCAACAGACAGGGCAGTCGTCCCACGATGTCGTTCAGGACGGCAGAGGCAACGCCCGCGCCCCGTCGCTCCTCCCGGAGATGAACGTCCCAAAAGAAGGTGTAGCCGACACGCACCTCCTTCAGTTGGCCTTGCTCGGAGAGCCGGGTCTCACTGAGTGCAGCAATGCCCACCTTGTAACGGGCCAGTTCCCGAGCCATTAGTGCCGTCCTCCGTTCCGGTCGGTTGCTCCTCAGATTGTCTGAAAGGAAACGAACATTCCAGGTTGCCAGAGTTGGCGGACTCACCTTACCAGTCTGGCGAGTGGGACGGAGGGAGGAGGAAGGGGAAGGGAGAGTGTTGTTTCTGCTTTGATGGTTTCGACCGTGAGTTTTGCGTCTGCGGCGACGGTCAGCCTGCAGACGGCGTGGATTCTCAGCATTTGTTTAGGGCACCTTTTCTAGTCCCTTCCCCCTCGCGGGCATGAGCAGTGCTCTCCCTAAGTAGGGCTGCTCAGTTGTCCCAGGCGACTGCCGAACTCCACTATGGGCCACGACCTTGGTTTAGTGGGAGAACGACCCGAGTTCGCCTTGGCCTGTCTATTACACGTCGTTGGACTTGAAGGGGGATAGGGGAGGGGTAGAGAGATGGCATGCAGAACTTTTCCGTTCCTCTCTAAGCTAACTGGTTACTGAAGTATAAACTGTGTGCAGAGAAATTGAACAGAACGGCATTTAGCTCACAATAAGGGCAAACAGAAACAAGCCGACAAAAGCAAGCAGACAAGAGCGGCAAAAAACAAAGGCAGAGTGGGGAAATTCAACAGAACGGCATTTGTTTTCAACGAGAAAAAACACAGAAGAGCATTTGGCGAACATACGCGTGCTTTCGATAAATTATCATCGAACCTGTACATTTGTATGGAACGAGGTACAAACTGAAACGTGTGAGCGATAAGAGCAATCGATTAAGGTTTGTCTTTTCATACAAACAGGGAATGTGAATAGAGGGGGTAAGGGAGGAGAGAGAAGGCAGTAAGTGACTGTGAGGGTTAGGTAGGGCCGTGTCACAAGGGGGAGAAGTGGGGGGGGGACGGGGGCGCGGAGATATGCATACGGTCGGCAGCTATCTACAAGAATACGAGAACACCTGCCGGCATGGCTGAGGAAAGGTGAAGGTAAGAGCATACGCAGCTTCATCCTCCCCCACATGGTTGATTCTGGGCATTGCGTGTGATTTACAAGGTCCCATCTAACTATCCTAAGCGACTGGGCCAGCGCTTACTAGCAACAGCAGACGCGACTGCCATCAGGCTACAGAGACCGGTCCTGTGCGCGCAGTGGAAAGTAATGGCGCCAACTCTCAAGCCGCGGCTCGGTCGACGAGACCCGACCATTAACAACTGACATGCCGGTCATCAGGTGATTAACGCACCAGAGGACAACCATCCTCGACGATGGGAGAAGCCATTAATTGACATAGGTATGCGTTAGTGCAACGACTGCGTCCTGTAAATACCGCAACATCCCGGGTGTGAATTGTCCGTATCTGATACTGTCTCTGGTATTGGGTTCGAGCGTACATAAGAAACGTCAGGCAAATAAAGCTCTTATTCCAGCGACCGCATCTACTTTTTTTCGGCGATTATCTTCACGGCTACAAAGTTAAGCTCGTGGCCAGCTGCGGAGGTGTGGGCAGCCACCTGTGATAATCCGCCACCCCGTCTTACAGTCAGTTTATTTTCGTGTATGCGCCATCTGGGCATGCTTTCAGTCTGAACAGTGTAATTGCAAAGGCAGTTTAGGCATGGGATGCGATACACGACACCTAACTGCTCGCTGGGATTTAATCGGTTCTTGAGTTTCATGACCCAGCTGCGCATGGTAGCTTGGGGCTGATGTGGAGTTTCGACAGCTCGTCTCGCGGCAATGCTCTCAGTCGCTTATCGCACGTCCTTGATGTATGACAATGCATTCCATGCTGCAGATGCTATTTCTGGATGGGTCATCCGGGGCGAACATGTAGGGGTCATCTTGTGAATGCCTTCGGATAGCTGTTCCGCATAAACTGGTCGGAGAGATATCAGGCCTCACGTGTTGTTTCTTCCCTGGTTGCTGCAATTTATCTGTACCCCTTCAAAGAGGGTTTTCACACAAATTTTTTTGTGAGTCACCGAATGGTTGCTGTGAGAACCAGGTTTTCACACAAACAAAAAAGGGAGAGGGGGCTCGGAGGCAGTGCCATAGAGGCCACATGAACAAGGAGCCATTGCGACCTGACCGTGCCTAAGGAGAACCGAATTATCTGGTCAGTTGACAGCCTTCCGAGCCATGATTTTTGGCGCACCGTGAGAGTTTAAGAGTGCGTCGGATTGTTGACGATGAGAAATACGCGCATAGTGCCGTGGAGACGGAGTCTGCAGAGTCAACCTCATTCCCCCCCCCCTCTCAGTCAGGAAACGATCCGCTGTCTAAGCCGATTGACCAGCTGATGCGGATATTGAGCGCAGGCGGCCGGCTCAACGTGTGCTTGATGCTAGACGTGCAACCAACTCCACCCCAATGTGTGACATTGGCTATGACTGCGCGGCCCAAATAACGCATGCCGCACCCTGATCTGGTCCCGTGATGGTCAAGCGTGAATTCCGCCTGGCGCGTTGAGGGAGGCAAATGCGTAACATAGTTCCTTCCGAAATTGCCAGAAATCGGGACGAAGATATTTTTGAGGAAACATGCTCCAACGTAATATATTTAGATTGATTGTCTGGAATCTAATCTTCTTTGCGACAGCAAAATGCATTTAAAACGGGCAAACGGAATAGAAAGGTTTTGCCAGATAGAAAACAGATAAGACGCGAGCAAATAAACATATAGTTGGTAGGATAGGAATATATGTAAACCGTCCCCCTCTTAAACTCTCTTCCTGAGAAATGATGTCTTAATGCAGTAAACTAAACATGCAGCACAAATATTAATTTATCAGCAACATTTTTCTCCCAAACCTCCATATTACCACTATTGCTTACGCTATAGTTTAAGAGGTGGGCAAATGTCCTTCTTCATGATGCTTTTGTGTGTATTTAAAGAAGCGTGTAGTGTAAATAAGCTTTTTCCTTTTTATGTGTTTAAGAACACCGCGTCCCGTGTATTAAAAGGCCCCCATTACCGCCATGCCCTATTACAAGTAGTCTTGCGCTATAGTTCAGGGGGTGAGTGCACACATTTGTGCCAAACCGAATATTTACCTGCCACATTGTAAGGTGCGCCCCCTTTTTGTTTAGGCTCCAGTCTGTGATCCAATGCAACATTCGGTTAGGAAGCACATCGGGTTTTATACTGAATGGACTGAGATGAAAACCAGAAATGCTGGGAAGTAGGTGGCCTCTTCACTTATAAGTACACGGCTATTTTTATAAAAAGGACAAGCAAATGACGGCAGGGAGAGGAAAATGGACTTTTAAATAGCACACAGAAATAACTACCATGCCAATGTACTCTAGATACATCAGATGGTTCCGTAGCAGAGGGGTAGGACCTCTGCCAAAGCAGTCAGTAAGTGTATCCTTCAAACGGGATAAAGTAAATATTGCTATACTGAAGGAAGGTGTGATACGAAGACCCGTTCATAATTTTTTCCGGTATGAAGTCATAGAAAGTGTTTGAAGTACCAATCTCCTAAAGGACTTATGTTTATAAGTATGCTAGACGGGACCAACAGCGGATTGTGACCGAGCTGCTATGAGTACGCACTTTTGTCCCGGCTCCTTTCAGTAGTGCCTATTGACACATACGGTGAGATGTGGATAATCATGAAACAACATTACCGAAAAGAAGGAGGAAGGCTGAAACGGCTACTACTGATTCACCTATCGCCGTCAGCCAACCATACCTTGATCCGAGATCGGAAGTGCCATGATTTGAGTGCAAGTCAGGTTGGTCCTTTTGACTCAAGCCATGGATTTGACCGATGGATTCGTGCTTTCGTCAGTTGTGGCCTCAGACGGTCGTCAAGGCGGTCAGCAGTCAAATATTGAAAAAAGCTATGGGCCGAAATTACGAAATAAACTAAAAGCGTGTATGCAGAGAGAGAGAGAGAGAGAGAGAGAGAGAGAGAGAGAGAGAGAGAGAGAGAGAGAGAGAGAGAGAGAGAGAGGGGAGGGGAGGGAAATTCACTTTATCTTGAAATCATAACTTCAAAATTTTGCAGCAAACATTTTGACTACATTCACCATGGGCAGTAAATAAGTTAATACAGTATTCCAGAGTCAAAATGTTTAATACGAAAGGAACGATTATTATGAGGACAGTTCAAGTCTTAGCTGCTGTATTTCTATCTCTTCACATGCAAAATAGCGCGCCAGGAATGGCAATACAGAGACTCGAAAAGCCGATGTGCGACAAGACATAAGTCGGAAGCTGCGGCGCATCGGGCGGGAAGACTTCGCAGAAATAAGATCAGAATGCAAGGGATGGGCAACGTCATCTATAGTCCGACCAGCAAATTGCTTGACAGCATTGAAATGTCGTTGTAGGCAAGTACCGACTAAAAAAAGATAAGAAACACCAGCGGCAAAAGAGAGCATTCGGAAGACTCGTTTTAAAATTGAAGGATCTTTTGTGAGCAAGGCAGGACAATTGACAGGAAAGCAGTATAGGATAAGAGGAAGAATGCATGCATCGATGAATCGCCAGACTAAGGGTTGAGGTGTGTGGTAGGAACGTAAACGACGAGTGTAATAAAGAAGTTTGCGAACTTTAGTAAATAGGGACTCAATATGAGGGGAAAATGAAAGATTTTATGACAAAGTTATTCCAGGTACCTGAAAAAGAGGATACCTCGTCAGGAAGGATCTCCGACGATTCAGGACTAGGAGAGGGCCGCAGTCGGAAAATACACTGAACTGAATTTTGGTTGTTCATTAAGAGACCATTGTCCTCCGACCATATTAGGACGTGGTTTAGGCTATCCTTTAGAGACTGGAGGTGTGTCTGACTCTTGAGATGGTGTCCAACAACCACATCATCGGCATACTTAACCAAAAGACAGTCGTTAGGGGATCTTAGATCGTCGGTGTGGAGGGAGACAGACTGAGGGGATAGAATGGAATCTCGAAGAACTCTGCAGTCACTGAGAAGGACCATAGATTTTCGCCCGCCAGATTGGACAAATTGAGTGCGGAAAGTAAAATAATCGCTAAGCCAAGAGACGACCCAGCCTGGAG